GTGAGAGATGCAGAGCAGTAGCACACACGTATCTCATAGCAGCTGACTAGGAACATGGGGGAATTCCTACAGTCCATTTCAGCAAGTGGACCTGTTAACCAGGTGCCTTTGGTCATGAAACAATATGCAAACAAAACAATTCTGAAGTAATAGGTCCATTTTATCATTTTTACTCAGCATTTGGGATGGCCACATAGTTGCCATTTTGTTTCTTTTTCTATTTGCTTATCTTTTCATCACTCATTTCTCTTTGCCATTGTTCAGTCTTGGTTTTGTGGATTTCTTTGCACTGACCATGCATGCAGTACAGTTTTTGTATGCAACTGATATGCATAGCGTACAAATATGATTTATTAATCACAAAGAGAACTGCATACGTTCTCTGGGGAAAAAATGTGGAAGGATGAGACAAAGTGAAGCAAAAAATAATCAGTCACAGGCTTGATCCACACAAGGGAAATGCAAAACCGAAGCAGGGATTTTTATGTTGAAACTGCAAGGATGAGAAATTCCAAACTGTCATGATGTATAAGGCCTTGGGGGAGCAGGTGTGGTTCAATGGTAGAGCACCTGCTTTGCACACAGGAAGTCCTCAGTTCAATCCCCAAAGACTCCAGTTAAAAGGAGCAGGTGGTAGGTGATGCGAAAGACCTCTGTCTGGGACACTGAAGACCTGCTGCCAATCAGAGTAGATAATATTGAGCTACACAGACCAATGGTCTGACTCAATGTAAGGCAGCTATATAGTGTTATTTATGATTCAAAGCCCCTTTTCATTCTGTAACACAGCAACAGCCTGTCCTCAACATGTCTCATCTTCTTTGCTTACATTTTAATTCCAAAGTGGGGAACCACTCTGGCCCAGTTGAGCAAACTAGTCTTATTGGCTCATTTAACCCCTTGACTATGTTCTTGAAGCACACATGAAATCCTCCCATAATGGTGAACATATACAAGAGGCCAGAAGGATATACAAAGTCCAAGAAGAATATACAAAGTCAGAGCTGTGTACATGCTCCATAGCATCCAAGTGCACTAGGAAGCACAGGAATTACATGCTTATTAGTAAGCCTGAGCAAAGATGATGCATCTATGGCTACCTGCCAAGGCACCTCCAAAGGAGCAACAATCTCAACTTTGACAATATTTATTTTCTGGTGTTTCCTATGCAGCAATCAGATTTTTCACCATCACTGCATGAATTAAAAAAACATTTTTAAATACTCTCAGGAGTCTAAACATTTAGTTGTCCAAATAAAGCTTTATGATAAGTGGAGGGACAAGCTTGGAAGAATGGCTTACAAATGAAAGAAATGATAGAATTCTTCCATGTCCCAATCCACTTGGACAGAGTGTTCTTGTGACTAAGAGACTACACGAGGACAGCAGGCATTTAGGATTGATTTGCACCGTCATTTAGTCTATTGGACTTGTGTATGCAAGCCGGCCCCTCAACACGCACAGACATTTCCAAACAGGTTCTTTCAGGCCATATCCAATCTCATAGTTAGTGAGGCCAAGCTATTAAAATGCAGTTTCATACCATGGTCCCACTAAGAATTCCATCTGGAACAGCCACTTTGCATGCACACCTATACACTTGGCACTGGGAGGTACATACGACTTCTGCATGGAAGCCCAATGTGATTATTTTGAACAAACAAACCCTTTCAAGGCCATAGAGTACATAAAACTGTGCTTTATGACACCAATGCTTGTTTTATTGGCAGACACAAAGATAGCTGGAAAGTTTCACAAGAATCACATGGCTATATTACAAACAAACCATTTTAGCATCGTGCAAATCCCTGTGCTCTCTGTATCATTTTCCTTCTGTGGGGTAAGGGGCATGAGTTTATTGACTCTGAACAACAAGCTGTGCCACAACAAGCTAGCTGAACAACAAGCTAGTGATTATGTTTCTTCTGTGAAAAGTACACCTAATTGTTCTGAGGTATGTATTGACAAGTTAGTGTCTAGTACCATTCTGCTTTTTTAGAAATTAGGCAGAAAACAGAAGGCCCAGGAGGTGACATTCTGGAAGATGCAGGAAATGAAGGGGAGACTTCTTTGTAGCTCCCAGCAAACATTTCTTAAGGCAAAAGCAAAGGTAGCAAATGAATCAAAGACTGCAGCTGTAAGCACCTTTACTTAGAAGAAAGTTTCTTGTGAATTCGGTACAACTTGATTCCAAGTAAATATGGTCAGAGGACTATTCATTTTATTTATTTATTTATTTGATTTATATCCCATCCTCCCCCACAAGCAGGCTCAGGGCAGGTCACAACATATTAATTCGATACACAGAATAATTAAAAACATTTTAAAGCAACACAATCCATGAACACAACAATAATAAAATTCTAATCAGATCTAAAGATGGCAGCCATTCCAGGAGTTCAGGTGCCTCCTAAAGGAAGCTAGTCAGATGGTCATACAGAGCGACCTGTCGCCTGACGATGCTTTGCTGTTCTCTTGAGCAGGGCAGGTCGGAATGGGCCTTGTAATCCTGCAGCAATACAAACCATGCAAGCAGTGGTGTGGCTTCATCTAGACAGAAGTGTCCAGCACAACAGATTTAGAAACATGCCACAAGTAGAAGAAAAGGTACCTCAAGAGGGGGAACGCAGCTAGCATGGGAAAAGAAAGTCCCTAATTTCGACAAACTGCAATCACTATAGGACCATGCCCATTCTACCCATGCAAACCACATCATAGTAATCCAGGCATTCTGAACTGACAACTTAAACATGTGAAATATGCAAGACGGTATCTATAATACTTGTCATTCTCTTTCCCAACTGATTTGCATTCTCCTTCCACAAAGACAGCAGAGTATCTGCATACCTGAAAAGGACATGGCATGCGTGCCTTTCCCCTCTTTGCCACAGCATGGGCTCGACTTCAAAAGGACACCTGGTGTGCAAAAGTAGCTTACCCATGTGGGTTACACACATACACATCACATTTAGATCTGATGGCTCTTGCAGCATCAACACAGAAATGGTATACACCTAAGCTATGGACTCCTGGCATTCTCACTTTATAGGCACAGCTGCTAGCTCAAGATGGGTTCTATCTAAAGTGGCACTGGTGCATTTCTTATAAGCTACCGGTATCATTTTAGTCATGCCGGCCACATGACCACGGAAACGTCTTCGGACACTGCTGGCTCTTCGGCTTTGAAACGGAGATGAGCACCGCAACCCTAGAGTCGGATTCGACTGGCTTTCGAGCAAGGGAACCTTTACCTTTACCTATCATTTTAAAAAAAGAGGCCTAAGAGGGAGGCAAGAAGACAAGATGGTGGCCAGGAAAAAAAAAGAGAGAGCTGCTTAGGATGATGTACTAAAGGCACGAAGTCTTATCTACTGAACTGCACAGGTGCTTTCACAGGAGCACTGGATCTAAAGCAGTTACATGGCCAAAGGTTTGGGTATCACAGTTCTGTGAAAACACACATTCTTTGTATACAGAAGTTCTCAGATCAAAACACTTCCAGTTAAACAGCCGGCCTAGAAAAGACCTCTCCCAGTGACCTTGGAGAACTGTTACTAAGCAGAGTAGATGGTACTGGGTTACAGTTTCAGAGGGTAGCTGTATTGGTCTGCAGTAGAACAGCTAGATTTTCAGAGTATCTAAGGTGCTTCTGGACTCAAATCTAGCAGTTCATCTGATGTATTCCTTACTGACACTTCCTTGCCCACAACACAGCATGAAAGTGGCAGGTCCTCAGCAGTGGTGACTTAAACAACCACTGCAAACCAACTATCAGCTTTGTCATGATCTGGGCTGTGCAAGTAAAGGCCTAGCAGGCCCAGGAAGGCTGACTAACAGTTCGAGGAGGTCAGGCCTACAACTCCCAGAAGTCCCTGAGAGGTTTTGGCACCAATTTTAGGCAATTACAGAGAAAGGGGACTTATAATAAAAGAGCTGTTATTTTCTTCCAAGGGAGCAGAGCCAAAAGGAAGGCCTTATCCTGAGAGGGTGGGTGAGCAGACTGAGGCCCACTTGAGACAGTGAGCTGAGGACAGTAAGTTCAGACACATTAGGGCATTTGGTTTCTTTTCTCTTCACCCACTTATTGCTATTGTTCTTGCACCTTGTTGTTTCCTATATTTGACTGACCTCCTGTAAAAATAAACCTTTTATTTGTTGTTTACTCTGCCTGGTCCTCACACCTATTATTCCGCCAAATAAGGGAGGTCTGAAAGTCTTGGGAGGGTACTCTAGTCCTTCTCAAGGGAACCTAAAACCAGAGTGGTGGCAGTATCAGGTGACACCGCATCAAAGTCATCACAAGCTTATTCAGTGATCTGCTGGGGGGGGGGTCTGATGAAGGAGCTGAAACAAGGGGCAATCCAGAAACAGTAAAAAATGTGGACTTTGGGCAGGATGTTCTTGCTCACACATTGAACGAAGGCAAACTACATAAGCAGTTTAGATGTTAAAAATAAATACTGGAAGTATGTTTTTAAATCAGATTTTGACCAACTGCCAACAAAACAGCTTGCAAACAGTGAACATCTCATTACCAATCAATAAAACTTGAAAAAAAGAAACCACAGTTATTTCCATACACACAAATTATGTTTGAGATTGAACTGATTGAACTGTTCAGGGACACTTTAAGCTTTGCTTTCCAGCCTCTCTTTTGCACAAAGCTATATATTGATCACTTTTCCTGACTGCAGACAAACTATAATACAAGAAATGAGGTGTCACTGGGTGGTAGAACACGTACGTGTCTTTTATCCTGCTGGGCTGCCTCTGGTCAAACAGGTTTTCTAACAATACAAACCTTGAATAAACTGTTTATCAGAGATAGTGCTGGGATAAACATGCACACTGATACCTTTTCACACTCCAAAACAAACAACTACTCTCAACTTCCAGGCCTATTCCCATTATTCAGGTGGGACACCTTTCCCAAATACACTGATTAGAAGAGGGGCTTGGGTGACAGGATGAATGCCATCCTTCAGCATGGTGCATCTTACCCAGGGCACAGGTGCTGCCAGGAAAGCAATGTTCTTCACAGAGACCAAGGTATGGGGAGACCACCTGCTTAACAAGCTCCTCCAACTGCATGAAGGCCTTACTGGGACCTGTGGGCTCATGGACTCCCTGAAACAAAAACACCAAAACACACACATCACATGTACATAACATATACATTTGTTACATCACTAGTTTCTGAAGAGCTAGATTCAAGTCTAGTAGCACCTGAGAGACCAACATTTTTTACAAAGGGAGCTTCAGCACTCAAAGGTTTATACACCAAAATCCAGGGGCTGCTGGATTCAAATCTAGCTCTTCTACAGCAGAACAACATGGCTACCTTCCTGAAACTAGTTTCAGAAGAATTATTCAACTTTTTAAAAGAAAGAGTTTTAGGACTTTTATATAATTTAGGTATTTATATCTCACTTTTCTCCCCAATGGGGACCCAAAGCAGCTTAGAACATAATTTTCCTTTCCTCTGTTTTATCCTCACATGAAACTGCTGAAATAGAGTGACTGGCCCAAGGCCAGCCAGTGAGTTTCCACGACAGAGTGGGGATTTGAATGCGGGTCATCCAGATTCTAGTCTAACCACCATACAACACCGGTGCTCAAGGACAAAATGATAAATTTAATGTTTAGTAACCTGCCAAATTTGACTGAGCATTTGGAATATGTACAATGCTGTATTATTGGGAGTTACAGGGATTTAAAAAGACCCTATGTATCCTTTACAGGGTTGAAGAAGACCCTTACTGTTGTGCCAGTTACAAGTAAGCTGTTCCACTCACTTACTATCCTATATGAGGAGTGAACGAATTACCACCAAAGTGTAATTTGTTTAGTTCCACTGTTTATATAGGATTACTTTAAGCAGCTTACAACAAAACAAACATATTACAATCATTACATAAACCCCACATCAGTGAACAACTACATCAGTCACTGTAATCAGAACCACCCTACCACAGCACCATGTCGTCGCAGAAGAGAAGCAAGACAGCCAGAATTACCCAAGTCTTAAATGAAAAACTCAAAACATAAAGCCTTTACTAAGCTATCAGTCTACGAGGGACTGTCCTAGACAAAGTGTTCCACACAAAGCAGCCAGCAGAACTGAACCAGATGTGAAACTGGAACTTCATGGAACTCCCTTGGAGATGCATGTGATGGGTTTATATCACTAAGGGTGAAAGGGGCTCCCTATGACAACTGTGCCCAAGGCAACTCAGACCTTTTAAAAAGGACAGTCCAAGGTACATGAAGTAAGATGGAAAACAAACCCCTTTCCAGCCGCTGCCACTGTATTGGGTAACACATGGCTCTGTGCCCGACTAGGGGTCTGGAGGTTGTAAGCCTTAAGAGCAGGAAACTGAAGAGACAGTAGAAAAAAGCATCTACCAAGTAGGAACAAGAAGCATATTCAACCATACCTACCCTCAGATAGTAAGATGGGGCGTACGCACATGAATACATATACAGGAAACCTATGGTAGTGTAAAGACTAATGAATAATTTTTGTGTGGCAAAGCTCATTTCAGATTCATAAAAAGTTATCAGAGCTGGAATTTCATCCCAGGAGGCAAGGAAGTCTTGTAAATTTAAGGATGCACCTTTCTGGTTTGCATGAGTCCTTTTGCTTCCTTAAGTATACATACACACCTCTAGGTCTTCCCATCCATTCACTGAGCACCTAAACAACCGAAGTACAAGAGGAGGAAATAGGTAACTTCCCACCTGTAAGATCAGTAGCATCTGGACAATGGAAGGAGGGACCTTGGTTTGAACCAGAGGAAGAATCTCATCCAGCTTCACTCTTAACAAAATTAAGTCTCTGAAGCCAAGCAGAGCAATTTGGCGAATAGTTAATTCTTGACCCTAGACATACAAGACAGTGTGAAAAAGAGCATGCATCGGCACTGAGAAATACTCAACTGTATTTAGAAACTGCCAAATCTTGTGGGACAGCTATAAAATAACATCACGAGTTAATGCATGATATTGTAGAAGAGCAAATGGGCACATGGAATAGGAGGCAGCATAAAGCAGATTACTGGTTACAAATTAAAAAAGAAATTGCAGCTGTCTGACCTGACCCTCTTGAGGAATCATAAACCTGGCTAAAAGTATGTGAGTGGAAAGATATTTATAGCAACTCAGTAGGAATGCAGGATAGGAGGAAGGAATACCTAGAGAGGCAGGCAACCTTTGCATTGGAAACTGGCAATGATACCTACAAGGCTCACATAAGACTCTGAACTTCATCAAAACTCAGTAAGGGAAAGTCGTAATATTTCTTTAGCATTCTGCCCACTTTTGTTCAATTTTTAGACTATTATAACATAAAACATACAATGTTTTAGCACATTTACCCATTGTTGAAAGAGATCCAGTATCTGATTACCCAATTTTATGGGTAACTATGCAGAGTTATGTACTATTGCATTACGCCAGCTTGTGCCAAGATTAAGAAGCCCAAATTTTCCTCTAACTCTCCTCCCAATACTTTTTTTTAACCTCCTTATTTCACAACCAAGTTAAACTGTGCCCTATATTCTCCATGGGAATAATCATAAAACTAACCATACCATAAGCAGCGAAGCAAATCTCTAACTGGAGGGAATAAGTGTTTGTTAATCATCAATTCATAATGGGGTTAATGCTGCAATTAACAGCTTCATCAAAATGCAAATAAGAGCTAAAGCCAAGGGTTCTGAAGTATAGCCTGCTGTGGCAAAATGTTTTGACCTCTTTAACCATCAAAGGGTGTTTTTAATGGACAGAAAGGAAATCAGGACAAAAACAGAAGGTGGTGGAAGATGGATCTGGACCTTAGCTTTGTTTGATACAGCTTGGTTACTTTATCTGGCAAAATGGATACTTTCACACAATGGAAACTAGAGCACAGGCTTCACTCAGAAGAGAGCTCACTATTTGGCAAGCATATAGCCCCAATCCCGTATTGCTGAATCACTTGCTGTGGATGATTGCATGTGAGAGGGGGGGATCACAGGTGGGCGTGACTCTTCTCACATCATCAAGTCTTGTTTGAGAATATCTTTATTTCCCACAAGCCATTCTTTACTTCCATTTTTAGAGTATGACTGAAGAACAGCAACATAAAACCACTTAGGGAAATACTAGTACATGGCAGAAAGAGTAAGGATTTGAGTTACAAGGAAAACCTGGAGTTAAGAGTCCAACTTGTCCCTTGTAATGTTTAGTTCCTTAAAACATCTAGCTTCTTCTGGCAGCTGTTGTTATTTGTTAAACTGCATGATAACTTTTGTAGTAATTCTTAGGGCTCTCTTTTTGTGGGGTGAGGGGGTTTGCTGTTTATGACTGGTTGTGAAAACAGTAATCAAGAAGTAAGTAAGTTTAATACACAGCCAACATTTTCCCAATGAGACTTCTAGATCCATTTTTACCTGGCTAATCACAATAAAACTGCACAGCTGTGCTTGCTGTCGGCTTTCTGGACTTGCGGGTTACACTTTATAAAGCGTAACAATATCTAATCCAAAATAACCTTTGTTGTCACAAAGAAATGATCAAAGTCTTGCTTCTACAATTATACTTCCCAGTTTTCATGACACTGAGCTTGAAATGAATTTTGTGGGAATAAATCAATTTCCCAAATCTAAATTGAAGACTAATTTCCTTTTCAAGATTATGTAAATATCATAATCTCATGACAAGTTTTATGTTGACTGGCCGCACAGTTTTACGGAAATTAAAACTTTATCCTGAATGATTTGTAAAGCAAGAAATCTCTTGAAATTAATACGATTTACTACACAGACTGAGTTTATGACTGAGGTGTTAGTGTATAATTTCCATTTATCTTTGCAACACAAAAGAATATACACATAGGATCAAATGTAAATGTCTATGTTGAGCCTATCATCAGTGTCTTGCTTGCAGAGCAGTGTAGGCAAGGAGGAATACAATCCTGAAACTAAGTGGTGTATAAAGATGTCTGTCCTAGGTCTACCCTCTAACCACTCAACATTTCCTCTATTTGTGGGGGAAACCCAAAGCATTACACAAATTAGTGGGGTGTGTGTATGTATACACATACACACACACACATCTCTTCTATTCCAAACTTGGGACATATTTAAAATAGCAGTTAACTTCAATGAAGGAAACACCTGCAAACATTTCCACCAGGGTTCTTTATATATAAAGAAGTGGGAGTAATGAGCATGGCATCACTGACCAAAAAATTCCCACAGCTCAAGCACAGCATATGCTTAAAGAAAAGATGGGTGTAACATGTATTGTACCATACGGCCAGGCTGCAAGTATTAACTGGCTGGCACTTGTGATGTCTGTAGGGAGGGCACCTCCTCCCCATCAGAGCAGTTCTGCACTTTCTTTTATAAAAGTTTGGGTTTAAAAAATTAAGGAGATGAAAGAACAGATAAAATGAAGAAATATGCATGCAACACTTTGAAAAATAAAACAGGCAAAAAAATTGCTATTGTTGCACGGTAGACAGGCAAGATCAGGAAATGAGCCAGTATTTGCTTTTGATCTTGTTGGCATACATGTCTGGCATTTCAACAGCAACACCAGAAGAATACCATGATCACCTGGTGCTGAATGCACAGTGAACCTTTCTGAAGAAGAAGTGGTGATTGGATTTATACCCTGCCCTTCACTACCCAGAGGAGTCTCAGAGCGGCTTACAAACTCCTTCCCCTCCCCACAACAGACACCCTGTGAGATAGGCGGGGCTGAGAGAGATCTTGACAGAAACTGCTCTTTTTTCAAGAACAGCTCTTATCAGAACTACGGCTTGCCCAAGGTCATCCAGCCAGGTGCAAGTGGAGGAGTGGGGAATCAAACCCGGTTCTCCCAGATTAGAGTCCACGCCCTTAACCACTACACTAAACTGGCTAAAAATACATGTACCTTCTCCCTTATTGCTGCAGTCTCCTTGTTTAAAATAAAGCACCTCTGACATGTGGCTATGGCCACTGGTTCCCACAGCAGTAAATTAAGCTAATCAACAAAGAAGCTACCTGCTTAATAAGCAGTCATACTTCACTTTCACTGTTTAAGCAGCTGCCATTGGTACAGAATTTTGTCTGTGCACTCATTACTCCCAAAACAATTACTTGCATTCCAGAAACACATCACCTGATCCACGCATTCCTTACTTGCCTTTGTAATTTCCAAATGTTTTGACTTAGTAGTCCTCTCAATAGAATTCTGTTGTTTAGGCCTACATGCTGGCTCCAGCCCGACTAGAAAGGGAAACTCCTCATCTTTGCTCTATCCCCAGCACCATCCATTTTCAGTAGCCTATCACCCTCACACTCTCCAAAACCACACAGGTTCCACTACCTGGGAACCCACAATCCAAAACGTCTACATGGGGCAATGAAACTGTTGCCAGATGTGCAGTCCAACCCTAAACACACTGGGTTCAATCTTACCATTCTGCTCAGCTAAGGATGGAGCCTTTCTCCAGCACAGTGAACTTTCTACCAAAGGAAGAGCTTCCACCCTTAGCTGAGCAAAGGGACTATATCAAACCAATTGTATGGCGGTACATACCACTAAAATAATAACAGCAAGAGAGACAGAACACTTCCATATAAAGTACAAACTTTGGTGGGTATGTGAAAGATTTAAAGTTTACTATAATGGTTTTGTCTTCCTGCATTCCCACACATACCTTCTAGCATCTGCAGCAAATAGAGAGAGGAGATAGAAGAATGAGGCAAAGGAAGAGAAAAGCAAAAGAAAAAAAAAACCATACACCAGCAGGTTAGTATACTGTAGCTAGACACAAGTGTGCATTTCCATTCTTATAGCCCCATTTGGAACATACTAATGTGAAAAAAGAACACAGGAGAAAAGAAACAGTAAAGCTGATCTATTGGCATTTGGAACTAGAAAGAAAAGAGTCAAACCATCGGTCTGAAGTAGCCAAGAGGAGAAACAAAACAAGTGAGGAAACAGGTAACTTCCTTAAGAATTTCATTCTGTAGGCAATTTCTGTTCAAAGATGTTGTTTCTTGTTTAGGTTTCTCAGCCTTGGGGTAGGGGACAAAATATTATCCTTTAGGTCTTCCATAGCCTAGCACAATGAATCCTAGAGCAACTTATTTAACTCATTTGTACTGTGCCCTTCTCCCCAGTGGGGAACCAAAGCAACTTACCTAGTTCTCCCCTTCTCCATTTTGTCATCACAACAAGCCCTTGAGGTAATTTAGGTTGAGAGTGTGTGACTGGCTCCAGGTCACCCAGCAAGCTTCCACAGGCACAGCAGGGATTTGAACCTGGGTCTCCCAGATTCTAGTTCAGGGGTGGCCAAACTGTGGCTCCCGGCAGCTCCCGGCAGGGCAGCTGGGGAAGCGAAGGGGAGGCATCCTTTTTCTGTACAGCTATAACTTCTTGCCACAGATTCACAGGCTCCTCCAACCCCAACCCCTCCCCTCTCTTTCCACCTCTTTCATTCTTTCTTTCCACCTCTCTCTTTTTCTCTCTCTCTTAGACAAATAAATATCATTAGCAAACAAATAAACAACATTGGACAAATAAGTATCATTATCAATATTGGCTTTTACCCCTTTTGTTTTTATTTTTGGCGGTCTCATTTAATGTTAATAAAAGGCACATTTGCATATTTTAAAATAAAAACGTGTGTGTAATATTGGTTCATGTTTTGCGTCTCTCAAGCATCTGACATTTATTCTACGTGGCTCTTACACTGAGCAAGTTTGGCCACCCCTGTTCTAGTTGAACAATCTAACCATCACATCATGCTCAACAATGACCAAGTGATTTTTTAAAATCATCAACAAAAAAACAGTCTTAGAAGTTCTCTGCCATAGTCCTGAGATAAGAATACAGTTCTTTTGCAATGGCCACCAGACCCATAGTCAGGATTTTTTTTTATTCTGGGGGGCTCCAGGGTTCAGGGGGGCTGCTGGTTCCAGGGGGGCTTAATTTCAAATAAAAATTTAAACCCCACAAGGGTTTAAATATGCATCCCCTCTCTTCCCCCGCCAGTCAGCTGAGCACAGAGGGGGTTTAAACTTTAAACTCCCTCTCTGGAGTTGCACCACAGTAGTGGCACAATTTCTCCATTGGATACAGTAATCCAGTAATAAGGAGAATCCAGTAATAAGAAACATTAGCCCTAGCAACAAAAATATGCAGGATTGTTGTCTCTTTACTGAAGACAACTAACAGTTTGCCTATCCCTTTGCTTCTGAAGAATAGAGTCTTGAAATCAGAAATATAGAAATTTAACTGCTGCAAATACACCACTCTGATGCACAGCCTGAGTCATTAACGGTCCAGTGTTAGCACCTCTGGTTCCCTGGAAACTATCATTCACAAAGCAGAGCCAGCGTTGGGGACAATCCCTCCCTTATTTGGCATAACTTTATTTCCCTTGCAAAATGTTACCCTTTGCAGAGTATTTATTTTACACATTTACAGAAAGTAGTTAGAGTAGGGCACAACAAATATTATAGAGGAAGAAAACGAGGCATGGAAAATGTACAAATTACAGAGGTGTTCGCCTAGAAAGGAATTCTGTATTCTGACCTTTGTACAGTACAAACATCTTCCTAGGGGAAATCCATTTTATTAACAAGTACAGACATCTGACCAAGAAGTTTTAAAACTCTGCCTCTTCTTTTCCGTAACAGCATGTACTATTACTGTGCATGTTTTAGCAACCAGTTTCAATGAGATATAAATCAGCATATGCTTGTATGTCCTTATAGCAGCGTTCATATTTTTTTCAAATCTGTTCTCACCTAGAAATTTAATGCCGTATATAATATAGATCTAGTGTCAAAATGCTAGCTGCATAGCATTGTGGTGGTGCAGATCTGTAGCCATTTCCTCCTCTTTCTTCACTCCTCTGACCAGAAGATCTTATTTTAAGTGAAACCCTACATCCTTCCTAACCAATATTCTAATTGCTGTTTTTATGTCTTGTACCTATTTGAAGTCAATTTTTAATTGTTTTAATGATGTGTGTTTGGTTGGGGTTGATTTTAATGGTTTTATAAGTTGTAGATTTTTCAGGCGGTATGGCCATGGTCTTGGCACTGTAGTACCAAGACCACGGCCATATAGCCCAGAAAATCAACAACTAATGAACTCCGGCCATGAAAGCCTTCGACAACATATGTGATTTTATCATTTATGTTTTAAATTGTTGGCTGCCTGGTGGCCCTTGTGAGGGCAGAAAGGTGGGAATGCAAATTTTGTAAATAAAATAGGAATAAACACAGATGGGAATTCTAATATAGCTTTAAAGTATTCTTATCTGATTAGGATATGGGGGCCTACAGTCTGCTCTACCACAATTTGCTAGAGAAAAAAGTTTCAGAAAACATCTGTGATTTAAAGTTGAATTCTCTTTCTCTCTTTTAATTTAACTGGGCAACTCAACAGCTTTCTTCCCCAATTAGTTTATATTTAACTAGACTTACCTGAACAGGATAAAATATAGCCTGGAGTGTGGGAAGAGTCTCTGTGAAGAAGTGATCCCATATATCAGCTAATACATGGATTCGTTTCTCTCCTAAAATATGCGGAAAATGGAGACTTTTAGAGGCTTTAAATTACAATTGTTAAATTACACTGTTAAATTACATAGGGATCTCACATTATTTAGCTATTATCTACTAAGCAATTCATATAACTAGTCTTATTTTCCTTTAAAGGAGAGCAACCAAACTAAATTATTAAATAGCACTTTTCTTCTTAGAACAATGTACAAAATTTGTCCATTTCTGTACGAAACAGTTATGCACAATCTAAGTAATTTAAGAGAGAACCAACAACAGGCTTAAGTGGTACTTTCCCACACAGAGATGGGATTGTGTGGTTTCCCTGTTGCTGCTGAGACTACTGATAGAGCGGAGTGGCAACAAGATTTCCACATGGCAGGTTCCCAGTTTTTTCCCTACAGCAGTTCCTCATGGTGGCCATTCTCCACATGGCTCCATGGGATGTGGGTTGTTGCTTTTTTTCTTAAATCAGCAACTGAGATATCATTATTATTTTATTTATTATCTTACAAAATTTATATCTCACCTTTCTGCCCTCATAAAAGCCATCAAGGCAGCTAACAAAACACATGCATAATGAAACCATCTCTGGAAAACCATTTCAACCAACAACAAAAATAATTAAAACTGGAGATAAAACACATATAAAAACAGCAATTAAAACATTGAGCACTGAGGAAATGTCAAACAAAATAAAAAGTCTTCAGACACTGGCGAAAATGGCAACAGAAGCGGACAGACGAGTCTCCCCAGGGCGAAAGTTCCAGAATGTCGGTGCCATGACTGAGCAGGCCCTCTCCTGGGCTGCCACCCACCCAGGGCCATAGCCAGAGGTGGGGCTTTAGGAGCTGAGGCCCCCCATGATTATGGTGGAGCCCCACCACAGCACAAGCTTTCCTCCCCCCCCCCACCCACCTCAGTCTTCACCAGCCAGAGAGACCAGCCATCAGCTCTCCAAGAGCCTTAGAGAGCCAACAGCCTGACTCGCTGGCTGGCACAGTGAGGCACCTGGGTGGGCTATTCCCTAATGGTCCGCCCAGGCGCCTCACCCTTCTTTACCAGCCAGTGAGTCAGGCCATCAGCTCTCTGAGGCTCTTGAGCAGTAGGCTTAGAACAGATAAAAGGAAGTACTTCCTCACCTAAGGAGGAATTAACACATGGAATTCATTGCCACAAGAAGTGGTGGAAGCTACAAGCATAGACAGCTTCAAGAGGGGATTGGATAAACATATGGAGCAGAGGTCCACCAGTGGCTATTAGCCACAAGGTATAGATGGATCACTATGTCTGGGGCAGTGATGCTCTGTATTCTTGGTGCTTGGGAGGCAACAGTGGGAGGCCTTCTGGAATTCTGGCCCCATTGGTAGATCTCCTGATGGCACCTGGGTTTTGGCCACTGTGTGACAAAGAGTGCTGGACTGGAAGGGCCACTGGCCTGATCCAACATGGATTCTCAAGTTCTTATGTTAACCCCCCTCAGGCTCTTTGAAGATACCACCAGGAAAAGGGAAACCCTGGAGGGCAACACAATCCCAGACTCCATCCCTGAGCAGAAGGATGGACACAAATATTCTGAATTTCCAGAGGATAAATTCTCCTGTGGTGGTGGGGTAGGAGGGTTACTGAAGGAGAATGGGGCAGAGAAAATGGTGCCAATGTCGGTGAGATTCAGCCACATTGGTAACACCGCAAATTTGCTGCTATCATTCTCGAAATACCATAGGAAGCAGGTTTGAGAAAGATCAGGGAAAGATGGGGAAAATAATCAAATAATTATTTTTAATGCCCTAAAGCGATGGCATGGTGGGACTACTGATCCCTACAATAGTGGTGGGAACAGCAATTGGGGCATGAAAGATTCCTCATTGAGGCCCAGTACCTTGCAGCTTTGGCCATCTGGAAACATTGTTCATGCAGGTTAAAACTAAGGAAGCCTGCAGAGCCCATTTTACTATGCTACCTATCCACGCTGCGTTACTTTCAGCTGGGCATCCATTCAAATGCCCATCTTCATCTACATTCTGGCACAATCAATCAAGAACAAGTACCTTTTTAAAAAGCAGAACTAGAGATACATGTTTGGGACCCATTCTGCAGCAATATACTGTTTACAAGATTTATCACTAAAACAGCATAACTTTGGGGGGGGAAGGGAATCAGTTTGTTGCACAGAATGAGAAACGCCAACAGTGCCACAGCACATTCATCAAAGTACCTCTCCTCTTCAGCAGAGAGATCATAACTTTAACTCCTACGGTCACAAGCTATGCAAACACTTTTCAATCCACATGCACAAGCAAAACTAAAGGGACATTTGCAGGATATTTGCTGTAACTGGAACATAAGAATCATTCATTTCCCCACCAAAAGAATGTCAGTAGCCACAAACTGGCATCAATTTGAATACTTCAGAAACTTGCCACTACAAAGCTGCCAAATTGAGCGTTTATTTCCAATCAGGAACTACCAGTTTCCAGCTGCTGGAAGTTCTTTAAGAGGGCACAGGGGTATATAAGAGCAATGCCTGGTGGGAAACATTTTATTTAATTTCAGAGGGTAGCAGTGTTGGTCTGCAGTAGAACACTTAGATTTTAATTCCGTAGCACAAAGGAAGTTTTGACTCTCAAAAGCTTATACCCAGAAAACCAATAAGGTGCTACTGGATTTGAATCTAACTTTTTATTTAAATTATGCATTTGCGGCCATTCCACAGAATTGGTGGATGAAACACAGACACATTTCTCAAAAGGGACCTTGCAATTTACATTGCAGCACTCAAATAGTCACTGCAGACTGGAATATTGGTGATTAGGCTATTAATATCAAAGTGGCTTTTTTGTTGCAGAGATGGTCCTTTCCCCTTAAATCTCTACAACAAAAAGAGCTAAGAGAACCACTTCTTTAAAATAATGAAAGCTGGGTATTCAGAGGAACTAGTAGACTGTAGTAGTGGCCTGGTATAACATTACTGAGCTATAGCAATTAGTAATAGTTTTTAAAACTCAAAAAGCGTCTTGTGGTGCAACAGGAGAAACAGCAGCTGTGAGAGGCTGATGGAAAGAAAGTGGAAATTATGTGACTGGGACTTTCTAAGATGTACACCTTACTGTCCAGATGATCTGCTGATACACAGGGACTGCACTCTTTCTGGGGAAAAACCATACCAAACCAGGTTCAAGAAAGAACGTACTAAGTACAGGGAAAGCCTGGAAAGCGAACAATCAAAGGATGAGGTTGTGTGGACACACACAAAATAAATAAAACCATATTGAAGTTTAGAAGCCAAAGTGGAGAAAATCCTTGGACCCATGAACATTGTGATGGGTCAACAAAACAGCAACTGAGGATCTAACCCATAAATTGAAGTGGGGCTAGCTTCCAGGAATGTACACTTAGGACTGTAGTCTTAGTGACGTATGTCCCATTAGTTTTCAACACAGACATATTGTCTTCACTTGGATTGTGACATTTACCCTCGAAGGAACCTTGCGCTTTTGAGATCTAAGTTCACATGCATTAAATCTAGGACTAGGCCTGAAATAAAAGGAGTTGGTCATGTCCTACAGCTGTTGTATCACAAGATGTATATCTGGTGATCACTAACTAAGAGGAGTTGGATCCACTTTTAATTTAAACTATATATAACAGGATAAACAGTGTACTGCTGCAAGAGACAGCTATGGAGCTGCATTTTTACCACACACTTTTTAGGAACCGGGAGCCAGTGAGATCCAACTATAGGAAATTAAGCCATGAGACAAAACAGAGCACATAGCCAAATATGATTTTGATCATTCATTTCCAAACTTTTCCAAAACCAAAAAGTTATGACTTGCAGCATATCAAATTGTGTACCTAACCAAATTCTGAACCGTACTAAGTACAGGGAAAGCCTGGAAAGCGAACAATCAAAGGATGAGGTTGTGTGGACACACACAAAATAAATAAAACCATATTGAAGTTTAGAAGCCAAAGTGGAGAAAATCCTTGGACCCATGAACATTGTGATGGGTCAACAAAACAGCAACTGAGGATCTAACCCATAAATTGAAGTGGGGCTAGCTTCCAGGAATGTACACTTAGGACTGTAGTCTTAGTGACGTATGTCCCATTAGTTTTCAACACAGACATATTGTCTTCACTTGGATTGTGACATTTACCCTCGAAGGAACCTTGCGCTTTTGAGATCTAAGTTCACATGCATTAAATCTAGGACTAGGCCTGAAATAAAAGGAGTTGGTCATGTCCTACAGCTGTTGTATCACAAGATGTATATCTGGTGATCACTAACTAAGAGGAGTTGGATCCACTTTTAATTTAAACTATATATAACAGGATAAACAGTGTACTGCTGCAAGAGACAGCTATGGAGCTGCATTTTTACCACACACTTTTTAGGAACCGGGAGCCAGTGAGATCCGACTATAGGAAATTAAGCATGAGACAAAACAGAGCACAGAGCCAAATATGATTTGGATCATTCATTTCCAAACTTTTCTCTATAACCAAAAAGCTATGACTTGCAGCGTATCAAATTGTGTACCCAACCAAATTCTGAATTTAGGAAGCAAACCTGAGAACACAATGAACAAGCACATCAACTTGAGTTGTTTCCTGCTTCCTCCCAAATTTTTACCATTAAGTGCTAACCTCAAACCACTGAAGACTGAATCTGCAAATTTATTAAAGATTCTTGATGACCTTCTAGCTCAACAGGAAAGTGTTACATAATTGGTCCACAGGGTTCAGCCATTTTAACAGACAAGGCATGCTTCGCCATAGAAATGCAACCACTTGTTAGGAGCATTGCTTCTTCTCTTAAAGGCCTGCACATGACCAAATGCTACTTTAAGCAGAAGAAAAGGAGTATATACATAAAAGAAAACTTTTGTAGAAATTATTTTGGTCAGGCAGCTGAGTACAGAGAGACTTGCACATTTATTTACTTGAAAAATTTGTATGCCACCTGTCCAGGCCCACTCAAGACAGTGTGAACTAAAATACATCAAAA